GGGCTCAGGCGATCTTTCTGCCTCAGCCTTCCAAGTGGCTGCAACTACAGCCATGCACCACCACATTCAGCTAATTTTCTGTATTGTAGAGATGAGGTCTCGTCAAGTTGCCCAGGCTGGTCTTGAACCCGTGAGACCTAATAATTCAAGCAACTAGAATGGTGTTTTTCTTTTTCTTTTTTTTTCTTTTTTTGAATCAGAGTCTCACTCTGTCACTCAGGCTGGAGTGCAGCAGCACAATCTCAGCCACTGCAGCCTCAACCTGCTAGTCTCAGGCGATCTTTCCACCTCAGCCTCCCAAAGAGATGGAACTACAGGCATGTGCCACCATACCTGGCTAATTTTTAAATTAATTGTAGAGATGTGGTCTCACCATGTTGCTCAGGCTGGTCTTGAACCCCTGAGTTCAGGCAATCCTCTCGCCTCTGTCTCCCAAAGTGCTGGGATTACAGGCATGAGCCACTGCACCTAGCTAGAATGTTTTTCTTTTTCTTTTTTTTTTTTTTTGAGTTGGAGTCTCACTCTGTCACCCAGACTGGAGTGCAATGGCCGATCCTGGCCACCGCAACCTCCATCTGCTGGGCTCCGGCGATCCTTCCGCCTCAGCCTTCCAAGTAGCTGGAACTACAGATGCGCGCTACCACGCCCGGCTAATTTTTGATTTGTTGTAGAGATGAGGTCTTGTCAAGTTGCCCAGGCGGGTCTCGAACCCACAGGCTCAGGCAATCCACACACTGCGGCCTCCCAAAGTGCTGGGATTACAGGCTGAGCCACCGAGCCCGACCAAGAATGTTTTTCAAAGTGGAATCCAAGGACCAGTTGCATCAAAATCATCTGAAGTTCATAATTTAAAAAAACTGAATTGAGAGTTGATGGGGCTCAAGGATTTACATTTTAACAACATGATTCTTCCACACTAACATTTGAGAACCTCTAAATCAGTTTTTACAGTATCCATGCTCATACGGAGTTTCAAGTCCACAATATCAATCTGCCTTGAGTCTGAAGTGTATTACTCTTGGAATTATCTGGCAAAGACAAAGCAGTGTTTTGGATTCAGAGACCTGGGTTCAAGTATGATTCAATTACTTGCTATCTAGGTGAACTTGAACAAGTTATTTAATTATTCCAGGCCTCAGTTTCTTCACTGGTAGCAATGTGGATAAGCATATCTTCAAAGGGATGTTGTTGCAATTAAACAGGAAGAGTCTGAACAATGATAGAGGAAGGCTATCATTCTTTGGAACATTTATTGAGGCCTACATACCATTTATACCAAGATAAATAAGAGATTACTAAGCACTATGCTGCATATCACGTGTACCAGGATGGTCCTACTCACCAATTTGTTTTCTACTAGTTTTTTGCACCTGTCCTTTTGTGCTTAAGGTCTGAATTATTTTTTGAGCCTTTTTAAACCCTTATGCTGTCTTCTGTTAACAGACTCCCATAAAATAACATAGATTTCCTCCCCCTTTAACTGGCCGAAGTCTCTTTATCTCTATATGCCAAAGTCTTGAACCCCTCAAGTTATATCTTCTTCTCCAGCTTTATCTCTCACCAATCCCTTCAGTTAAGAGCATGCATTCCAGTGTTAGTCTCTAGGATCAAATGCTGGTTCTGCTGCTTATTAACTCTATGGCTTTGGCACAGAGACTTAAACTTCCTGTACCTCAGTTTCCTCATCAGTGAAAGAGGGATAATAAAAGTGCCCACTTTAGGAGCATCAGATGATACTTAGTAAGCACTTAGTAACTGTTAGCCAGTCTCATTGTCACCTGCATCCACAAGAGGAGCTGCTTCCTCTCAGTTTTCTGAAGGCTCCAAGTTCCTTCTCATCGCAAGATCTTCACCATTCTCTCTGCCTGTAATGTTCTCTGTCTCTTCTTACAGCCAACTTCTTCAGGCTTAAATGTCATTTCTCTGAGAAGCCTTCCTGATTCACAACGCTTCCACTTCCTCTTTTTTTTTTTTTTTAAGCCGGAGTCTAACTCTGTTGCCTAGGCTAGAGTGCAGTGGCATGCTCACCACCACCGCAGCCTTGACCTGCTGGGCTCAGGCAATCCTTTCGCCTCAGTCTTCCAAATAGCTGGAACTACAGGTGCATACCACCATGCCTGGCCAATTTTCTGATTTATTATAGAGATGAGGTCTCACCAAGTTGCCCAGGCTGGTCTCGAACCCCTAGACTCAGGCAATTCTCTTGCCTTGGCCTCGCAAAGTGCTGGGAATGCAGGCTTGAGTCACTGCGCCCAGCTTCACCTCCTACTTCTTAATAAGGCAGGTTACAGCCAGGCACAGTGGCTCATACTTGTAATCCCAGCACTTTCGGAGGCTGAGGCAGGAGAATTGCTTGAGCCCAAGGAGTTTGAGACCAGCTTGGGCAACATAACAAGACCCTGACTCTACAGAAAAACAAAAAACAAAAAATTAGCCAGGCATGGTGGCATGTGCCTGTAGTCCCAGCTACTCAGGAGGCTGAGGGAAGGATTGCCTGAGCCCAGGAGGTCAACACTTCAGTGAGACCAGATCATGCCACTGCACTCCAGCCTGGGTGACAGAGTGAGACCCTGACTCAAAAACAAAAACAAAAGTAGGTTAAGAACTCCTGTTAAACACCCTCCTTCACTTCTTTCCAGAACTTATTATCATAATTCAATGTTTGTTTACGCCATAAAGATAGGGAGCAAATCTGTGTTACACTGCTCCGTATCCACCCTGATACTTAGCACAATGCTGAGTCCATGCCAGCACTCATAAACTATTTCAAGTATTTGATGAATGAATGATTTCCTGAATCTGATATGCTCTATCTTTCTTGAAATCCTGACAACCTTTAAAAGAAAGTCACCTGCTGGGCTCGGTGGCTCAGCCTGTAATCCTGTACCTTTGGGAGGCTGAGGTGAGTGGATTGCCTGAGCCCACGGGTTCGAGACCCACCTGGGCAGCGAGACCTCATCTCTACAATAAATAAAAAAATCAGCCGGGCATGGTAGCGCATGCCTGTAATTCTGGCTACTTGGAAGGCTGAGGCGGAAGGATTGCCAGAGCCCAGCAGGTCGAGGCTGCGGTGGCCGGGAGCGGCCACTGCACTCCAGTCTGGGCGACAGAGTGAGACTCCAACTCAAAAAAAAAAAAGAAAGTCACCTTATTACATCCAGGGAAAGAACTCTTCACTTCTTTTACCTTCTGATAAAATTTTTAGAAGCACAAACCAACAACTTAACAAGACTGCTTAATTTTTGGCTGAATGAGACTCCCAGGATTATGTGTCTTGACTCAAAATTACTTTAGATCTGCACTGTTCAATATGGTAACCGCTATCATATGAGGCTACTGGGCACTTGCAGTATTGCTAATACAAAACGAGATGAGCTGTAAATGTAAAATACATTAGACTTTAAAGACTTGGTACAAAAAAGGTAAACATCTCATAATTTTAAAATATTCATTATATGCTATAATGATATTTTGGAAATATTGAGTTAGATAAAACATATTAAAATTCATTTCACTTGTTTCACTTTTTTATGTGGCTATTAGAAAATGTAATATGACATAAATGGCTTGCATTAGATTTCTATAAGGCAGAGTCGTTTTAGACTATCTGTTTAAAAGATATGGTTATTTCTCCACAATATCCCATTTCCTCTCATTCTAATCTGCAACTAAACATATTCTAAACTATTTCATAGGTTTTTCTCAATATTGATATTTCTGATGCATGGGCTACTCTACCACCTTTGTGAACATGGCTGATTCTTTCAAATAAGGCATAGTTTCCTACCACCATATTCAGTGTTATCACACCAAATCCCAATGAACTGGAGATTTACCATCCTGTGGCTACATTATTATTTTTACTATAAATGTTATGGTTAAGAACACAAGGTCTGGAGTCAGACCACCTGTTTTGGAGTCCTGATTATAATACTTACTAGCTGCGTAACTTTGTTACTCCTAATGTCCTCCTTGCCTCAGTTTCCTATACTGAAAAAAGGATATGATCATAGTGTCCACTTCATAGGATTGGAGATTAATTGATATTGGTAAAGTGCTCAGAATGGTGCCTCCCATGCAATAAGTTATGACTACTGTGTGTGTGTGTGTGTGTGTGTGTGTGTGTGTGTATTCCTCTCCCTTCCCACCTACTAGCGTATTCTCTTGTAATGCTGAGCACCTCTCCTAGTTTGTGGTGTTTTACACAAATCTGGGATTTTTATGCTCAGATTTTCTAACTCCGAACTCTGCTACTCCCCAGCTGAGTAGCTCTTGGGTAAGGTACTTAAACTCTCACGTTTCAGTTTTCAGTCTCTAGAAATGAGAGTGAATATTGCCACCTTCCCAGAAAAAAGTCTGAATGACACAAAGTTCTTTGCATGATCCTTAGAATCTAATGAACATATATGCCTTTAATGGTTTAATATATATGATCGTCACAATAAATCTTAAGACAGACTTTTATAAAGAAAGAAACAGGATACGGGAAGTTAAGACTTCCCCGAGGTTGCAGATAGTTACATGGCAGCGCCGATATTGGAACCAGGTCTCTCAGAGTCAAATGTTTTCTCACGAAACTAAAGCTGCTTTTCCAAAAGTATGAGCGTTAGAACTAAACTAATTCACGCTATTTGCATTCCAATGCTTGAAGACATGCAGAAACAGGCAAAGTAAGTCTATTGCCGCGGTCCCCACTGAAACTACCACAGAAAATCAAAATACGGGTTTTGTTCAAACCACCAACACTAGGTCAAAGAGTCGACGACGCGGATGAAATTTCAGTAAACAAAACAAAGCGAAGAATTTCTCCTCTAGCCCCCGAGGAAACTACGGACCGCGGGGAGGAGGTTCGATTGTCAGGCCTTCGGGGTTGGGCCGGTCCCAACCAAGACTACTCAGGCGGGCCACCCCCAGACCCAGAGGAGGCCAATGCCACGCCTGTCCGCCGGACCCTCCCCCTCGGATCTCTGGACCCAGCGCTGCGCCCACCCGCCCCTCACCTCCGGCTCCGGGCGCTCCGAGGCCATCACACAGCCCTCCCGCGCCGGCCCGGGCCTGTGAGGGCCTTCCACTCCTGACCCCTGACCTGGCTACCTCCGCACCAGGCAGGAACCGGAAGTGGATGGGAGGGCCGAGTTCCAAGTTATCTGATTGGTGAACGAGGCCTTGTCAGAGTTGCTCACAGAAAAACCGGAAGAGGAAGGTCTTGCGGCCGCTACCGCCGCCGCGATGCAGGTGAGCGCCGGCTTCGGCCAACTAGCGGTTAGCTAGCTTGGTATAAGGGGGCCGGGAGTTGGCTGGCTGGGGAAATGAAGAGTTGGGGCCGAGAGAAGCGTACGAAACCCGCGGCTGATAAGGGAACGCAGGATGGGGGGCAAGGCCAACTGGAAGGGGAGCGCCGCAGGTGAGATGTGGGGGTGGAGCCCGGCTGACAGGAGAGAGACGGACTCGGGCTAAATCAGGAGGGAGGAGGCAGCACTGACTTGCTTGGGTGTGGGAAAGGATTAGGTTGTAATTTGGGAAGGCTGAGAGGTAGTCCAAAGAAGACAGCTCAAGAAAGTGGTGGGTTGGCTCAGACCCGGTCATAGGCTATTAGATGGATGCAGACGTAACAGGGGATCTGTCATTGGAGAGAAGCCTGAGAAGTGAAGGAATTGTGTGCTACGGTGCCGCAAGCTAAACTGTTTATAATCTGAGGCCATAGTGGAATTCAGGATCAAGCTGCCGTCAGGCACATTATAGGGTTTGCAGGACGGTTTTGCATCATTCTTCCCAGCCTGTGCCCAAGAGTTGTTGAGGGTGAAGAAACAGGAGACCACAGATGGGAAGAAAATTCTTTGCAGACCTCCAGCATTTAAAATTGTCCAGTGCTTAAGAGCATGTGTAGTTTTTGTTTTTTCAGTTGTCACTTAGTTTCTTACACCTGGTAGTCTCTCAATAAATGTTTATGGGTTGATTAAGCTTGTGAAAAAAGAACAGGAATATTGACATAGAGATAAATTTGTGCAAATTAATTCAGCAAGGAGAAGGTTGAAATATCAAATGCTGAAAGCAAATGAAAAGCTAGGATGGTTGGTGGGGACAAGGTAGAGGGAAGAGCAGGGCTGATATCAGAGAAAGCTTCATGAAAAGCAGATTTCTCAGAGGTTGACAAGACAGCCAGGCTCACAAAGCAGATGTTAGGACAGAAACTGGAGTACATGTACTGCAGAGGTGCACATGAGATAATGAACTCCGGCATTATGTCTGGCAAAAATTTCTCAATGACGGAGAGTAGGATGTGTACCTAATGCAGAGGAAAACTAGGTGTGGATTAGGAGATGATGGGAGAAAGGAATCAGTTGGTGGGAGGACTTGGGGACAGGTGGACAGGTTGAAAGGTCTAAGGGTTGATGCTGTCTGTAACCCAAATACCAAAGATAGAAAACAACCTGGCTGTCCTGTGCCAATGAGATCCTGTGTTATCTGACTGGTGTTGCACAGTGTTTCCCTGGCTTTTCAGCCTTCCTCTGTATGTGTCATACTCAACATTTATTTGGGTAACCAACCTGTTCCTATTGGTGCAGAGGGAGGAGAAGCAGCTTGAGGCATCATTAGATGCACTGCTGAGTCAAGTGGCTGATCTGAAGAACTCACTGGGGAGTTTCATTTACAAGTTGGAAAACGAGTATGACCGGTTGACCTGGTAAGAGTTGCCAAGGCGAGCTGAGGAGGGTTCTATGGGCGGGGGGCCTGGCTTCCTGACGAATAGGACATTTCCAGTGATGTAACCATTTATCAGTTTGCAAACATCTTTTGGTTTGGAAATAGGTGGGTTTCCCAACATTTAACAAGTTCATGGCAAGGAAGTAGAGGAATGCTCAGTTTCCCAACCCAGGTACTTTTCTAGTTTTTGATGCTTACCCTTTGGCTTCTCTAGTGATGAGGTTTTCCCACTACAGTGGGGTCCAACTGCTCTAGAAGCATGGCTTCTATTTCTAGGCTGAAAAGGAGGCTTTAACCAGTTCTGAAGTTTTAGTTGTAGTGGTGTAGCCATGGTTCCTATTTTGCCAGTGTTCCCCACCCCATTCAAGCAATAAACTGCCTTGTTTCTACATCTGTATCAGAAACTGAAAGCATGTCCCTCTTTCCTAACTTCATCATCCCCGTTAACTAGTCTGGCTACCACCTAGGCTAGTCATAGGGCTATGAGACTTTTGCGGATGAATCTTGGTGTTCCTGGTCAGAGGATCCTTTAGAAACTACTTACTGGGAACTACCCTAGGGAAGTGGTGGAACATTCTGACACCTTCTTACCACTACCAGGCCCTCAGTCCTGGACAGCTTTGCCTTGCTCTCTGGACAGCTGAATACTCTGAACAAGGTCTTGAAGCACGAAAAGACACCACTGTTCCGTAACCAGGTCATCATCCCTTTGGTGTTGTCCCCAGACCGAGATGAAGATCTCATGGTAAGAAGAGAAAAGGTACAAGTTGTGAAATAAAGTTCTTAGATGAGAACCCAGATCACTGTTTTTGATTGTTATTCTGACTGGGTTAGAGGTTTTATTGTGGAATAATGTGTGGCAGTAGGAAGCAAGGGCTGCATTTTGGAGGTCTTGCGTTTGTCCTTCTGGAGGTGAGGGAGCCACTTCCAAATAATGGTATAATAACCTGAGGCATATGTCACCAAGGCAGAAATCTTTCTCTTCCAACATCTGTCTTGAGCCAAAAAGTCTATCCTTTTGTGATTTTGTATATTCTAGTCTTTGATGAAAATGTAGCAGAGAGAGGTAGTTTAATTTGCCCCGAGGTCTGGTAGAGACAGGGTGTGTGAAGGCAGAAATGAAGAATGGAGTAAAGGGGGCATTGTCCTAGGAAACTAGATATTGTATCTCGGGTTGTGTCTTCCCTGAAAATGCAGTTTGCTTGTGGAAGGGACTGTATATCAGGCTAGACTAACTCTTCTTGGAGTGCATAGTAGGATCAATAAAATCTGTGTGTTACAGCGACAGACTGAAGGTCGGGTGCCCGTTTTCAGCCATGAGGTAGTCCCTGACCATCTGAGAACCAAGCCTGATCCTGAGGTTGAAGAGCAGGAGAAGCAACTGACGACGGATGCTGCCCGCATTGGTGCAGATGCAGCTCAGGTTGGACTGAGTCATTGTCCTGCTGCCCCATCCTTGTCCCGTCATGAGAAGCTAGGATTTAACATTCCTATCTAGTAGAAATGCACCATTAGTTACACCAAAATTGCCTCTGGAGGAACACAAAAAATAAACATCTCCATATTATTTCCTACTTACCCTAAACTGCACAAACTTGTGTGTGTTACAGAAGCAGATCCAGAGCTTGAATAAAATGTGCTCAAACCTTCTGGAGAAAATCAATAAAGAGGAGCGAGAATCAGAGAGTGGAGGTATGGAGGGATTGGTGGCAAAATGGAGAGGTAGAGGTAGATAAGATTACGGGAAGCCGCGCTCGGTTGCTCAGCCTGTAATCTCATGCCTTGGGAGGCTGAGGTGAGTGAATTGCCTGAGCCTGTGGGTTCGAGACCCACCTGGGCAACTTGGTGAGACCTCATCTCTATAATAAATAAAAAAATTAGCCGGGTGTGGTAGCGCGCACCTGTAGTTCCAGCTACTTGGAAGGCTGAGGCGGAAAGATCGCCGGAACCCAGCAGGTCGAGGCTGCGGTGGCCGGGAGCGGCCACTGCACTCTAGTCTGGGCGACAGAGTGAGACTCCAACTCAAAAAAAAAAAAAAATTACTGGAATAGGAATGGTGGTTTAGGCAGAAGTGAAGTTAGGAAATGAGAATGAACTACTTGGGAAAGGGTTTGCGTCCAACGCCTTATTTAAGGTCAGCCTGAATCAAGTGGAAGAAATGGGCAAAGTGAGAAGAGAGAATTCTGAGATAGGCTTGGGGTTTCTCTGGCTCTTCCTTTGCGGTACAAGGGAGTCTAGATGTTGCTGACATCAGAACCTGCCAGACCCTGATACTCATACTGGTCTTTCAGCTGCCAGGTTCGGTCATGCACCAGAGGCATATGTCACAGTCCCCACTTCTTCTTTAGGTCTCCGGCCAAACAAGCAGACCTTTAACCCTGCAGACACCAATGCCTTGGTGGCAGCTGTTGCCTTTGGGAAGGGGCTGTCTAATTGGAGACCTTCAGGCAGCAGTGGTCCTGGCCAGCCAGGCCAGCCAGGAGCTGGGACAATCCTCGCAGGAAGCTCAGGATTACAGCAGGTGCAGATGGCAGGAGCTCCAAGCCAGCAGCAGCCAATGCTCAGTGGGGTACAAATGGCTCAAGCAGGTCAACCAGGTAAGGTGGCAGGGGTTGAAATGTAGCTGAGTTTGAGCAGGCAAGTGAGAGTAAGCTAGATTATCTGAGCCCCCAGCATTTCCAACCATGAAGATTTTCTCCTTTTCTTCTTTGCACCATAACTAGTAAACAATTTTCAGCAATAAAAAAGTCGTATCTGAGACTTCTGCAACAGGCACCAGAGAATGAGAAAGTACTTTGAGTAACAGAAACTGCTCTTGTCTTCCATCTATATCTCACACCTCTGTCTTAATATCCTTCTGTCTCATATACTTGGGTTATTAGGTGTGTTGTCAGTATCTCTTCATAAGTAGTGAAATCCATGGTCAGACCCTGTGACCATTTGGTAGGTGCATAAGAAATTGACAAGCAGGCAAGTTTCCCAGTCCTACATTTATTCTTTTCTCTGTATCCTGTCTCTCTTACTCTTGGCTTCCTGTCTTCTCTCCTGCTCACCGTTTTAATTATGAGAACAATTTAGATGCAAGCAGCTAAAGAGGTATTTCTTCCAAGTTGTCTGGGAAAAGGGACAATTAAAATGAGAGATTCTGTAGTTCTTATGATATTTTTCTAAAAAGGAAAAAGAAGAGAGAGAACATAGTACTCTTTTACCTGTGACATTAAATGGGGATCACATAGGTTTAGCTGTCTTTCAGGAGTGGATGAGCAGAAGACTGCTGGGTTGTGTTCTGACCCCTCCTACTATTTTCCCACATCATTCCTTTCCTCCTAGCCACCATCAGGGAGAGAGTTGGGTGAAGAACCACACCTCTCTTCTCTGCCAACCAGGTTCAGAGGCCACAGAAGTTCTGAGATGATAAAGAGGTAGCAGAAGGGGACCTGAAATACCACATGTCTGATTTGTCTTGAAAGTCTTACCTTGTTTCAGATATCTTTCTTCATGTTCTTTTTAGGGAAAATGCCAAGTGGAATAAAAACCAACATCAAGTCAGCTTCAATGCATCCCTACCAGCGGTGAGTGTGTGGCTAACAACCTCCATTCCCACGTGCTCTTTGTAGAGCTGGGCAGTGAAATTACCTTCTGTTCAAGGCTCATCTAGATGGGTACAGTAAAAAGAACATGAGCTTTCAGCAACAGACAAATCCCAGCTCCACCACTGACTCACTGTGTGATCTTGGACAAGTGACCTAAATTTTCTGAGCCTGCTTTCTCATCTGTAAATGGTGATGATACCTACCTCATAGGATTGTTGTGAGGATTAAAATGAAAAAATGAATGTAAAACATTCAGCACAGTATATGAAGTAATGGGTATTCAATAAATGATAGTTTTTACTATCTACTTTCTTTCCACTGTCTTCCACAATCCTTGATCCAGAATTTACCCTGATCTGTTACTGCTTCATGTCAATAGTGAGCTGATAGACACGAGAGCAAATAAACTTGTGCTTATTTCGTGCTGCCAGAAACTGTAGCAACCTTTGTGTCCTTGGAGGCACACTGTCTCTGCAGGTCCTTCTTCCTGGGTTCCATCCTGGATATCCTCTAAGCTGCAGGTTAAGAGGTTTCTGGGCTGGGACAAACTCCACCTACAGCTCTGGTAAAACTTGGGCCTGCTCTTCTCTGCGTCCTCTGAGAAGTCAGTTCAGCTCTTACCCGGGAAATAGTCACAAAGGCCCTTATCCTTTACCCTACCCTATATACATGAAGGAAAATGTCAAAGGACCAGTAGATGGGGAAATTCTCAGGAAGTGTTTCTGCCAGGCAGGACTGTGAGAAAGGGTTTTTCTTCAGCCCATGAAAATGTCCCTGCCAGGCACAGTGGCTCACGCCTGTAATCCCAGCACTTTGGAAGGCCGAGGCGAGAGGATTGCCTGAGCCCATGGGTTTGAGACCTGCCTGGACAACTTGGTGAGGTCTCATCTCTACAGTAAATAAAAAAAATTAGCTGGGCATGGTGGCACATGCCTATGGTTTTAGCTACTTGGAAGGCTGAGGCAGAAGGATAGCCTGCGCCCAGCAGTCAAGGCTGCGGAAGCCATGAGCATGCCACTACACTCCAGCCTGAGTGACAGAGTGAGACTCCGACTCAAAAAGAAAAAAAAAAAAAAAGAAGAAGCCCCTTTCCCTGGACTAAGTTTTCATATTTTGTAAGTTGAGGGGAATTGTACTTCACACTGCCAATAGGGTTTAGTTGTTCTTGTAAGAGCAGACTCTAGCCAGGATGGCTCTTCTCCTTTCCACTAAGCCTGTGGCTCAAATACAAGCCAGACTGAAGGTGGGAGGGGCAGCCCTCAATAGCTTTGCTTGCTTTTATAAACTTGAAGAACAGAGTAGGCTTGGACATCCAGCCTGAGCTGCCTTTCTTAGCACTCCTTTTTGGGCAAGGGCAGGGGATGAGTCAGCAGAAATGGACCAAAGGATTCCTGAGAATCATTGGCTGAGGGTTGTCTGACAGCAATTTATGAAAGCTACATAGGGATCAGAGACTATTTCAAGAGTGCTGCAAGGCAGTTCTGATTTGTTCTCCATAAAAAGTCTTATCTTTAATTAAATTTGATCTAAAAATCCTGAGACTTCCCTCCTGTTCTTACCTTCCAGTTGCATTTTTTTCTGTCTCTCTGTCACACACTGGTACTTTGGCATTTGCTCAGTGCCAAACAGAGTTCTGCCAGGCTGTGGCAGCAAAGCACTGGGAAAGTGGTCCCAGATGTCACATCTGTTCCTGTTGCATCAAGACAAGGAATGGTGTCTACAAAGTTCACTGTCCACAATACACAGCAGCAAGAGAGTCCTGTCATCACCTCTGAGGCAATGCCAGACCTTTCCCCTACTTTAAACAGTTCTGCCTCATTAGCCCACTCAGGTGTTCTTTATTTTGTCACCTCTTTTCCTTCCCACTAGAAGTGTCAAAGCTAACTGGCATATTGGATAGAGTTCTGGCTGTGTTTCTCTAAAACCCCTGGAGCATCTTTTGGTGATTGGTGTCCTTTATTTCACGAAAAGGTTCCCTCCGGTTGGATGGCACCAACCCCAAGTTTCTTTGTTGTCCCAGGCTAATACTGGCTTCATTCTCACCACACTATTAAAACAGATTCTGTGTCTTTCTAGAATTGAAATGTCCTTCTGTCTTAACAGGAACGTATGTAGGATGTTACCTACATCTCATGCCATTAAGCAAACACTCCTTACTCTGGAAGCACTTACACCTATATTCGTCACTCTGGAAGCACATGCTCTCATTTCCATCCCCTGCCCCTCTAAAAAATTTCTGGGGGTACACAAACCTCTGTAGCATCTCCCATTTTGGGGGAGATACAGCCACATAGCCTAGTAAACACCAAATTGGAGAATGTGTATCTTCCACCCCTAACACACTCATTCCCTCAGTAGGGGATATATGTGGAGCTTCCTTTGAAGAAGAGGTCATACTTGCTCACATTTAGGATTTGCAAAAGATGACTCTTGGCTGGGCACGGTGACTCATGCCTATAATCCCAGCACTTTGGGAGGCAGAGGTGAGAGGATTGCCTGAGCCCACGGGTTTGAGGCCAGCCTGGGCAATTTGGCAAGACCTCATATCTGCAATAAGTCAAAAAATTAATTGAGTGTGGTGGCATGTGCCTGTAATTCCAGCTACTTGAAAGGCTGAGGCAGAAGGATCACCTAAGCCCAGCAGGTCAAGGCTGTGGTGGCTATGGGCATGCCACCACACTCCAGCCTGGGTGACAGAGTGAGACTCCAACTCAAAAAAAAAAAAAGATAACTCTCTTGGCCTACTCTGGTAGTATTCCTGTTTCTGACTGCCCTGTTTTGCTTGGAGATTATGCTTTCTCCTACTCTTGGGGCCCCTGAAAAAATAGATTAGGTCATTGTCTCCCCGGTTTGTGTCCAGGGTGGAGAAAGAAGCAACAGCTACCTAGGTGCAATGGCTCACGCCTGTACTCCCAGCACTTAGGGAGACGGAGGTGAGAGGATCACCTGAGTCCGGGGGCTTGAGACCAGCCTGGCAACTTGGCAAGACCTCATCTCTACAATAAATCAAAAAATTAGCTGGGCATGGTGGCATCTGCCTGTGGTTCCAGCTACTTGGACGGTTGAAGCAGAAGGATTGCCTGAGCCCATCAGGTCAAGGCTGCAGTGGCCATGAGCTTGCCATTGCACTCCAACTTGTATGACAGAGTGAAACTCTAGCTCAAAAAAAAAAAAAAAAAAAAGCACCTTGTGAAACATGAAGAGCTTGCTACAACACAGAGCTCATTCTGTTGAAGGTAGAAGCTTATTGATCCGTGTCAGCATAAGGCCCATTGCCTAGGATCTCTCCTTCTCCAGCTCTGCCCTGAACCTGGGATTCTGGCCATTGCTGAACCCTTCTTTTGCTCATTGCCCTGTTTACCTCATTTTCTTCCCCTTTTGGTTCTGTTGCTGCCCTACGTAGCTGGTTCATTGCACTCAACCCTGTACTTTTTTGGGAAACAGCTGATATACACAGGTTGTAGCCCAGTGCTCCTTCTAACTCCATAATGGCTTCCAGCATTAGGACTGAGCTGGAGGGGTGTTATTTGCCCACCTCCTGTCCTGCTGCCGAAGGGAAGAAGTTGAACTCTGCAGGAATGCTCCAGTGCAAGGCTGGTCCCTTTTCCCACCCCCTTCTCACCTCCCCCAGGCAGCTGGAAACAACCTCTCCCTTTGTCTGAGCTTCTTGTACAGAATAATCCTCCTTATGGACAATGTATTCTCTGTGCCCTGTGGACACAGGAGCCGTGTGAGCTGATCCCAGCACCAGGCAGGACGGAGGCTGAATCCTTCCAAACGCCCACCCTGGGTCAGCTCCTGGTTACTGTCTAACTCTAAATGAACTACCGAGGGGTGTGCATTTTCTTCTATTTGCCTTTCCTGTCTGCTCCAGAATGGGTGTGGGGTGATGGGTAGCCTGTTGAAGCTTGACATTGGGCCAGGAGTAGGAACAGGGGCTGTGGTCCCCTTTCTGTTCAGTCATGAGGTTTCACAGTGCCTACCTATGGAGGTTCAATATGGCCCCTGCCTGAAAACCTTGAACGCACAGGGGCTACCACTTGGAAAGGGCTTGCTACCATGTAGACAGAGCTGACTGGCTTTCTTTTTTTTCTTTCTTTTCTTCCTCCCTCCCTTCCTCTTTTCCTTTCTCCCTCCCTCCTTTCTCTCTTTCTTCTCTCTTTCTTTCTTTCCTTCTTTCCTTTCCTGACAGGGCCTCACTCTGTCACCCAGGCTGGACTGCAGTGGTGTGACTGTAGCTCACTGCAGTCTTGAACTCCTCGGCTCAGGCTAGCCTTCTACCTCAGCCTCCTGATAACTAGGACTATAGGCACCTGCCACCATGCCTGGATAATTTTTTCTTACTTAATTTTGTAGAGATGAAGGTCTGTCTATGCTGCCCAGGCTGGTCTTGAACTCCTGGCCTCAAGCAGTCCTCCCACCTCAGCCTCCCAAAATGCTTGGATTACAGGTGTGAGCCACCATGCCTGGCTCTGCCTGCTTTTTGAATATTGTTATTCTGTAGAACTTGTCCTTAACCCTCTTCTTATTCTACCTACTGTCTCTGTGACAACACTTTTATGTGCATAATTCAATCAAGTTTTATTTTCAGCCCAGACCTGTTTGCTGAGCTGCAGATTTTTTTTTTTTTTTTTTTTGAGTCAGGGTCTCACTCTGTCACTTAGGCTGGAGTGCAGTGGCATGCTCACAGTCACTGCAGCCTCGACCTGCTGGGTTTAGGTGATCCTTTCACCTCAGCCTCCCTAAAGTAGCTGGAACCACAGACGCACGCCACCACTACTAGCTAATTTTTCTGATTTATTGTAGAGATGAGAGCTCACCAAGTTGCTCAGGCTGGTCTTGAACCCATGGGCTCAGGAAATCCTCTCACCTCTGCCTCCCTAAGTGCTGGGATTACAGGCGTGAGCCACCACGCCCAGGTGGAGCTGCAGATTTTTGTTGGGCATCTCTACCTATATTGTCCACAGGTACCTGCATGTCCAAATCCAATCATCTTTCCCTCCACACCTGTGTCTCTTCTAATTTTCCCAGACATTACCTAAGTTAGGAATACAGAAGCTTTTCTAAACTATTCCCACTCTGTGTCCCCAGCCCGCTCATAGCCAATCAAGTATCAAATCTATCAATTCAGTCTTCCCAGTATCTATCCATCCTGCCCTACATTTTTGGCTCTGTGCCTCTCACCATGCTCTCTATCTCCAGTTGTGCTTACTCTACCGCATCTTCCAAAAAGCTGCCAGATAGTTCTTGCTGAATGCAGATCTGATCCCTTTATTCTCTTGATTAAAATCCTTTTAACCAAGCGTGGTGGCTCTC